GGGGAATTCTGGCAGTTGAAGTCCACCCATCTTCAAGCTGCCAAGGTTGAGAAACACTGATTTATGGTGACCTTTGGACTCGCCCCACCAATGAATGGCAGTTGGTTTTTTTGAGGGGCTATAAACTTTGTAAACCAAAACTGTTAAACTCTATTGCCACTGTGATGATTGAAATCAGCATTGTGATATTTACTGATAGTGTCAAACTGGGCAACATTCTTCTGGTAGATTCTGACTGGAGATCTTGAATTCAGTGTGACAGAAGAAAATATGATTCCAGATATTTTGTGAGCTGGTTTTGGAAATGTATTACTTCTATTCTGTTAAAGAAAAATTGAGCAATACAGGGTCTGATTTGATTCTGTGTTTCAGAAGGAACTGTGAATATTATTAGAAAGTGCTGTTTGTATGCCTTATAAAAGAATTAGAGGCAATCAAGGAAGACATTGAAATTAAAATTATCAACATTTGACCGGGGAGGGTTTCTCCCATTTAGAACTTTGTAATATTTAATTATTTTTGGGTAGCCCTTTTTTTTAGGCACATGCTCATCTTAGGTCAGTATGAACTCTCAGTTTAGTATCATTTTTAGGAGCCTATTTGCCTTTGATATATATTCAAACTATAATTTTCAACTCTGCATGCCATAGAGGTGAATATAAGTCCGAGTGAATATTCAAGTCTCGGTAAAAATGTAGGTGTGCACATAGAGTTTAACTTCTTTCCTTTAGTTGAAATGAGTGGTAGATGCATGCATGTGTGTGCGTGCGTATAAACTCACACATATTAGTGGATTATGAGGCTGTGTGACTTCCTTTTTATTATTTTCTGCCAATAAACGTTTCAAGTGGCAATTCTGTGTACATAAAGCAGCAAAGGTAACCGAGGTCACTAGGTTTATTTCTGGGTACAGTTACACAGAATTGTCATGAGCAGTTTTGCTGTGAAAATAAATAAAAAGAACGGCCAGATAGAAGTTATAAAGAGTTTGATTTGTTTTTCTTGGTACTCGACCGCTAAGGAGATGATCTGTTAGCTGCAGTTAGCTACCCAGATGTTGTGAGGCAGACAATGTTTAGGGTACCTTTTCTAACTCCCTCCCTCATGCGAGGGTGGGCAGTGCTGTCTGGATGCTGCCAGACATCTCTGCTGCCCTGGGTACTGAGACGAATGACCATTGGTCCAAAGGCCACCCACATGGAAGTTTGTGACTACAGCTGCCAGTGGTCATCTCTACCTGTTGTTTCGCCATTCCCCCATTGCTGTAGGGTTCAATAAATTAGATTTGGACTGAGATGAATTGCAGATGGGTTATAGTCAAAGATGAATTGCACAACAGAAACCTATGTGTGATGGTTTTAAGTGGAGCAGCTGTTGCACAGGGACAGTACCACTTTTGGCAGAAGAGACCTTAATCCAGTGGCACAGACAACCATTACAGCTGGGCACCTCTCCTGCTGCAGTGGATGACCAGGACATCTCAATGTCTTATGTTCTTAGTGCTCCACAGCACCTGCTGGGCCTGCCTTCTTGACTGTTGTATCATTGATTGGTCTCCTCTCCTCAATCTGCCACGGCCAGATTTCACACACTGGGATAGACAAATCCCCTATCTCACCAAGGGTGGAAGACCTTTTGGCTATTCTCACCTGGATTGGCCCGTCTGCTAAGACGGTTTACCGGGCTCTGGCCACTGTGTGTGTTACAGCTACTTGGAGCCACAGGTGAGAGCTGAGCGCCATGTGGGGACCAAAGGTGAACGAACAATCTTAAAAAGACACAACAGGCCTCTCCACCAGAGGTGCTACCCGTTTCTGGAGGTGGATGGACAGACCAACCGACCCCCTCCCCTCCACACACACACTGACATGCATGCAGTGGAACATGTAAACAAAAATTAAATGAAAGCATCTAACATTACCAGTGCAAAGTGGCTGCAGGACCTGAGAGCAGACCACAGTAATCTCCCAGAACAGGAACCAGTCAGCATCATAGTAGCAGACATCCAACAGTGGGTCAAGGACATGAAGAGCTGGAGAGCACCTGACCTGGACGTAACGCACACCTACTGGCTAAAGAAATTAGCAGCAGTGCATGAATGCCTAGCAGCACAGATGAACCAGCTGCTAACAGCAGGGTCCCACCCATGCTGGCTAACACAAGGAAGGACAGTGCTGATCATGGAAGACCTCCACAAGGA